TTCTTTCTCTCTGATATTAAATTTTGAAATACAATATGTATGAAATATATACAACCTCTATTATTGTTGAATTTTAATCTTAAAATAGTTAATGGTCATGAAGGACAACCTGTGATTTATATATATAAGTTATAGTGAATTACGAATCTTCAACTTAATTATAAATAGTTTTATTAAGAAGCTCTCGCAGCATTTATAGACTTGCATAAAAGGGAGAACCGCAAATTTATATATTTATAAATACATTATGTCAATATAGAACTTTGTTTTGTAATAAAACATTTAAATAATATGGTATGAGCTGAATATGTTTTAAAACATATTTATCTATAAACCTCTTTATAGATACCCCAATATATCTATAAAAATATTTTTATCACTCGATATTTTTGAGAAAACTAAATAACATCTCAAATCTTAGCGCAATTCATCGCTTATATATAAAGGTAAAAAAAATATTGAAATTATTATATAATTAAGAAAAAAAAAGTAATTTACCATACAGATATTCTTCTTGAATTGATTTTACACAGTCAATACTATTGCCACAATTGGAAATTTTCTTTTTTGAAATATAATTTTCCTAATCACTAAACCTCTGATCATCGATATATAATTAGTGTAATAAATACCAAATAATCACCTTTATAAACTAGAAATACATAAAATATAATTAATTCAATCTCTTCAGAGCAGTTAACTTTTAAAAGTCAAAGATCTACTTTCTTAGCAGTTATTTACAACCTTTATGATTTATTTTTCTATAAATCATTATATTTTATATAATTTTCCAAACATAATTATCGTGGTAAATTTTAATTTTAAATATATGAATATTTTAAAGGTTTTGATTATGAAAAATATTTTTCAAGGGATTAAGGTCATAAAATTCTAGGACTGAAAATATTTATGGTAGTGCATATATTTCTGCGGTCCTTAAAACATATGTTTTATACTTTTCATATACCCTTGGAATGAATCAATTATTTAATAATTATATTAAAGACCATCATTCTAAGACAATAGTAAAGTGAACTGAAAATTCAACTATCAAAACCACTAAAAGAATAATGCTCTACTGGGCCCTAACCCTTATTATATTTTACCATTGGAATATAAAACCTGAAGAAAATATCTTCATATAAAATATAGCATCATTATGAAAATTCGAAACTATTGAACACGTAAAATTCTTTCATTTTAAAAGAATCATACGAGTCTATAATAGTTTCGAATTTTTATAACAGATGGCGCTCTAATGCATCATGACATAGTATCGTTATATTTATCTCAATTTATAATATATTATGAACAAAGTGATTAAGAATATAAAACTCCGTAACGAGGAAGCTAAAGAAGTGGAATAACCCAGGAGAATCCCAAGGTACTAATTCCCTGAGATAAAGTATCTAAAATAATGCTATAATCTGAGCTCGTTACACTTTCTAAGGTCCATTACCTCAGAACACACGGATGGTACTTTACAGCAAGACATTCTCACAAAACTTGTTTTAACTGTCTATATCGAACATGCTCCATATTATCTGATGAATATAGCCTGTAGACAGAACAGAATATGGCTGATAATATTGATAAAGCATATATGTTATAACACCTTGATAAAGGTTGGCGTTCAGCCAACTGAAATATTGGTAAAAATAATGATATTTTTATCCAATATATGCCTTTTTAATTAAAGAATATATGCAAATAGGGAAATGAATGTCATTATAACCAGACAGTAAATAAATAATTATTTTTAAATTATCTATAGTTCACGTGGTACAGTCCATGATAATTTTGATGGTTTGTAGTTAGCGACTACTGTAAATGCGCGTTAACCACATATCTATACATGAATAAAACGCATTTCGATTAATGAACTCACAGTTATGCCATATCACCTTGTGCTCACTGTAGCTCACTTAACTTGTACTCACGGTTGGGGTTGGACTTTTTGAAGATTCGGGAACAATTGGAGCAATACTTTATTCAAAAAAGGCGCCAAATGTGGGATTCGATTTTTTTCCATGGAATTTGGATATCGACGGTTTGTACCATTCGTCCACCTAACCGCATATATAAATATTTAAATGTACCAAATTATATATAATTGGAAATACCTTCTATATATATTGTAGCGTTATTTGTTGTATTGTTTTACATAATTAAGTTTTAGATTTTGTTTGGGTTTGTTTCGCATATATTGAATTAATGATTCATATATATATATTCGTGTATTCTTTGATTTGGGTAGTCTGCTCGTTGGCAGCAATAAACGATTATTGTTCGATTTATCTTCGCCTGTTGCATGCGATTCTTACCGTGACAATATATATAAAGAATTGTTCAACCTTCTGGCGAGAAGTTTGTATCGTCTCAAAACACGTTTTCATCTATTTGCAGGAGGTATCACCAATTTGGGAATAACCTCAACGGAATTTCAACTGATATTTATTGCATGTAAAAAAAAATAAATTTTACCTAGTGGTAGTAGATAAAATAATAGAGTTTCTGATATTTTCAACGTCAATTTCGTCAAGGTCAATTATTAGCTACAACAGTCTCGAGGCGAGTGCGGAATGAAGCTCAGGTTTTGGCGACGAGGACATTGTCCATTTGGGTTATCACCGTTTGGATAGCTTTCTTGAAAGATTTGATGATGTTTCGGAGACCTTTGTGACTTTCAATAATCCTCATGCATAATGGTCGAGGGCGTGGCAGTCTGGAGAGTTAGGGGGGCAAATATCAGGACTCCAATGATATGGGACGTTAAGTGTCAGCCACGATTGTGTTTTTCCATTTGTGGACCGTAACTGAGTCCGGTTGACGACATACTTCCTTCCTGCGGCCACTCTATACATCCAAGTCTTCAAAACGGTCTCCCAGACATTGATGTAGGTGTCAAAGTTCATCCTAATCCCTTTTCAAATAAAAAAGGTAGGCATGACAACACCTTCTCTGCTGATAACGCCAAGGACCAAATACGGAAACAGGAAATTTCGTTTGCGCCATGTCAGAGAACCCCTGAGGGGTCTTAACAGATTGAGCGATCATTCCTTGGATTTACATTTTGGTCCACGTCAAAGTTCTTTTCATCAGAAAATATATATTATTAATTAGTAAAATGATAGGCATGAGATAGAAGGGGTGCTTCTCACCTTTTAAACATACATTAACTAATAAATTTGTTTAATATTCGATTTTATATTCATATAAAGAATGTGCATTAAAACTGAAATTGTAGGTTAATACAAATAAGCAAATTTCTTTATCCTTGTTTCAAACTATCGCTCTCATTCGTACTAGGTGAAGGTTCCGATTTCATAAGTTCCTACGTTAGATATTATAATATATAGGGTGTAAAGCTGAAAAAATATATTTTAACCGGTGAAGTGTTAAGGATTATTCTAGGCCAAAAATTGTAATTTATTATAAGGATTATCTTCTTATTATTTATTATCTTGATTCAATCATATCAAGGTATCAAGCTTGTAAAGCTTGACAACCATCATGACTGGGTGAATTAGAATGCGTCTACCTTTGTCATTAAGAATGGAAGCACTACTCAGTGGCAGGCCGACTTAGCTCCAAAAAAATGTCCGCCTCTGAAATGAGGAACAGACGCCATGTGCAGCTGTTTCTAACATGGAGTACAAACGCTGCTCATCCTGTATCTCTAGATTAGGAGTCCTTACAGGGTACTATCAGCCGGGCAAGCTGAGCCCAGGTTTTTTAGCTAGCTTGTTACTGCTCCCTCTCTTCCTTTTGCTTCCGGGCTTGGGACCGGCAAAGGCGGAGTTATAAGGATGATATTTTATTATATAGAGATTAAACGCTTGATCTTCTGTAATAACGAATTTTAGCGGCGTTAGAATAGTTTTATTTGAAACTATCATTTAATAGTTTAGTTCAATTGTCCTTGAAATCTTGTTCGAACAGATTGACAAGTGTTTTATAAAAAATTAATTCATTTGCATACCTGATCTCTTTAAAATTTATATATACATAAAGGCAAATAAAATATAAATTTAAATAAAATAATTCATTCATAAATTCTGTAATATTATATCTGTTCACTTTTTCTAATATGTATATATTTATATTCAAACAAATTTGTTGATTTTAACCTTTTATTAAAAGTATAATTTCTTTTTAAAAAACACATATCATTAATATTTTACTTAAATTACAAACAGACATAATTACCTGTGAAATATATTTGCATTTAATTTATACGGGACTAAGCAAATATACCTTTTACCAAATGTTTTTGAAGAATTACGTTTGAATAGTGAATTTATAATTAATTAGAACTAACTTCAGAATAACCCAAAATAATCTCAAACTTTTCTTTACGAAATTATCTTTAATTAAATCCGACATCCCCCATTCAATAGATTTTTTTCGGGAATTTTCCTTGAGGATTTTGTTCCCAGAAAAAAAAATAAAGCGAGCAATTCGGAATAAATTCTCTTTGTTATTGAACGAGCTGATCACTCATACACTCCATGAAAAGATATGTTTTTATATTATCGAGTATAATCAATAATAAATGTACTTTATCAATTAAATTAGAAACATCCTGTTCCAAAATATATTTATTAGGTATCGCTCATAAAGAGCAACCTAGCTTATGTTATTTATAATGAAAAATATAAACAGGTTCTAACAGAAAAAAGTTTACAATGTGGGGTTCAATCCTGGTTCATGACTATCTGAAATCAACGGTTTATACAGCTGGCCACTAACTTTTTTAAAATATGAAACATAAATGTTTCGCAAATCTATGAACTTTAAAATAATTTATAAAACCTTATAATACAATATAATGCGGCTTGTGATTGTAAAACGACATTTGAAATACTATCCCGTATGTGTTTCTTTTCAACGATAATTCAAAATTTATCTCAAAGTGAAATAACGATTATTTCTAAGCTTTTGGATGAGGTATGAAAGGGTGAATTGTGAAGAGTAATGATAAACGGTAAAATAAAAGTGTCCAGGGAGGCATAGTGGACATGGCATCTGCCCGGTAAGCGGAACACTGTGGGTTCGATTCCCATCCCTGGACACTTTTATTTTTCCGTTTATCATTACTCTCAACAATTCACCCTTTCATACCTTATCCAAAAGGTTATAAATAATCGTTATTTCTCCTTGAAATAAATTTTGAAATTGCGTTGAAAAGAAACACATGCGGGATAATATTTCAAATGTCGTTTTTATCAAACCTTATTATCTGTTTAATATAGCTAATTATACTTACATTGATGATTATAAATAGAGAATAACAAAATAAAATAACACTAAGTTGAAGAAGAACGATATTTATAAAGAGGGACCTCTACATTTTATTGAGCACCAAAATAATATACCATGTTTATTTCATATTGTTACCCCTTTTTGGACAATACCTGCAAAATATAAATCGCGCAAGAGTTAAAAAGTAGATATTTAGTTGAGTAGAAAATACAAGAAGCAGGGAAAGAATTTCAAATCCATATTTTCGAATTATTAATTCATTTTTCTTTTAGGTTATTGGTGCTTATTGTACGTAAAAAATGTAAAACGCCGTTTATATACTGTTAAGTATAAAAAATAATAATTATAATAAATATTCAATACAATCATCAGTGTTCGATCCATATTTCACTATGAGAACCTCATGATGCACACTTTCAATCATATTTTAAATTTTTCAACGAAATTTTATTTTCCGAATAAGAAATGGAATTTTTTATTTTTAAATATAGAGAGATAGAATAGTGTCATATATTTATAAAATAGACAATTATCAGAAACTGAATAAATCAAAATGTCTCGAATGTAATATATATATATATTTTAAATATTTATTAATCATATTTTCAACTATACGTTGATATTTTTTCAAACTTGATTATTGGCCGAATAAAATATTTAAAAATATTCAACTATAAACGCGTTTCAGGTTATTGGTCCTTATCAATGTTTGTAGGCTTATTATATAAATCCTCTCAAAAGACATCCATAGTGGATATTGTTTCTTATTCTAAAGTGCGCTATGTCTGGTTTAGGACATTTTTATTTTATAAAGGAGATTGATCATCAGAGAGATTGACACAATGAGAGATGATTCCATATTCATATGCAAAATTTAAAATATAAATTAAAACAAATACGGTATGTTTCATTTTATATGTAAATATGACTGAAACCTTTGAGCACGAAACGCTTCCACTGGCTATAGTGAGAGAATGTTAACGTTTAGCCTTATACTACTATCGCCAGTAGAGGAGTGTCTTGGCCTATAATTCGGTTTTGATTATATAAAAATGATACGTTTCGTCCAAACATACATACCAACGGTTAGCGCATTATCACTCTAGAAAGTCAAAATAACGGCGTGCTTGAAAGCTTGCGTCCTTATCATCAATATAAAGACAAGCTTCAACAAGGAGGGTACTTTTTATTTTAGGAAACATCCTGAGTGGTTATTATTCGAGGAAAACAAATATATAAGAGTTATGAAGATAATTTGTTGGTTGGAAGTTGAATAGGAGAAAAACACAGTCACATCAACCAATATATATATGTGGCAATATAGTGATAATGTGGAGAGAGAGAAATAAGGAAACCACAAGTTTGGAAGATGGGACCCAGCAAACCGAGAGAGAGAGAGAGGAAGCGCTAGCGGGCTACCACCGCGGAACGACCGTTTGTGTCCCCAACCACCCCCCAACTGTCTAAAAATAGTTCTGAGGTTCTATGAAAATGGCCCCCTTGGAATGGGACTGATATATCAAGTGACCGGCCTTTACATCCTCCTCCCTACGTCTCTCTCTGGTCGACTGTAGATTTACTTTATTATTCCTGGAAGGGTAATATTATGACATATATATATATATTAACTCCCGACGTTCGGGAGTCACTCTCTCTTCAGGGGATTCTAGGATTCAAAGTATACATTCCCTAGAAAGATTGACATGGACTCACTGAAACGTCGAGAGTTAATCTATAATTTAATGTTGCTGTGTTTTCTACAAAATTCAATAGATTTTATAAATAGTGTATTGAGTATGTTTAACTTACCAGCGACGTAGAGCCTCATCACCTGCTGCTGAGTGCGGCCTCGCTTGAAGTCTACCCGGCAGCGGTACTCGCCCTCGTCGGCCGCCAGCACGGGGTTGATGTGCAGCGTGGCTACGGGACCGTGGCCCCGGGCAAGTCGCAGTCCGGCCCTGGCCAAAAGCGGTCGAGACGGGAAATGTCGGCCTTGCTCAGGGCGGCCGCTACGGGCATCCAGACTGTAGACCGGCTCGCCTGAGTCTCCGCGGTACCACAGCACGAGAGCCACGCTGTCCTCGGCCGCTGGTGGCAGTACGTGACACGGGAGAAACACCTCGGACCCCTGCACCGCCTGGTACTCCGGGAATTCTAGGGACACACAGCGAACTACCGTCAAAAAGTACTATTCCACAATGTGCTAGGTCAAGATTCGGCAAACCTTTGAATCGAAAGAGCCAAAAATTAAAATTTACAAACTTTCAAAGATATCAAAAAGTCACCATTTTTTCTTGCCAAAAATTAAATAGTACTCGCATAAATAATATTTGCGTATGGAACTATATAAAAAGCCGCAGCTTCACATCCAAAAAGCCGCATGTGTCTCGCGACCCCTGTACTAGGTTGAATCAGACTATATAAGAACCCTATGAAATTGTCTTGTGTACCATATTATAAATATTTCTTTGATAAAATCAAATAACTAAGTAAGGGATTGCCATGTAGAGTGAAGTACAGTGTCGGGAGCCCCGAGTCGCTACGGTAACCGTGAACAGGGAACTCTGAAATGTGGCTGACTAACGGGGCAATGGCAACCCCCTTTTCATGGAGCAGCAAAACCAGAAATTGACGATCCATGCTACTGAGTCGGACAAGACACCACCACCATCAAATAACTAACATCACAGTGTCTATTTGAACCAAGTATCCCCATGAATCAACCTAACACTGTATGTTAGCAACTTACTGTTATATTAGTAGAAGATTTACCCCCCCCCCCCTAAAAATGTGCTTTGTTTAGTTTAAAGCCACATTTGATATATTTAATTAAAAAGGCATATATTGGATCAAAATATCATTTATTTTACCAATATTTCAGTTGGCTTAACGCCAACCTTTATCAAGGTGTTATGACATTTTAAAGTGTATCAACAAAATCTATATGCCTTTTTAATTGAAGAATAATTTATGGATTGCTCTATTTTCAAAAATATTTTGATATATGTAAACGATATAGAAAGGTTAATACACATAAATATTATTTGATTTTTTTTTCAAATGTATATTGTAAATGAAAATATATTTTTACGAATGTTATATATGGGTATATATAATAAATAATAATAATAAAATAAATATATTTCGAAACTATTTTAGACGCGTACGATTCTTTTAAAAATTAAACAATTTCTACTGCCCCTACTGCAATGGAAATGGGAGGGCCTGGAGTCTTCAGTGGAGAATATATCCATTAATTTTTCCATTAAAGTAAGGGCAGTAGAAATTGGTCAATTTTTAAAAGAATCATACGTGTCTATAATAGTTTCGAATTTCATAACAGATGGCGCGCTAATGCATCATAAAAAAAATAAAATACAATTGAAAAAAAAAGAACTTTAAGATATAAAAATGTTAAAATAAAGATAAATAATTTTTAAAATGAATAAAATATATATATTATGTGTCAATTATTCATTTTTTTTAGAACAAAAATTATTTTACACTTATGCATTCAACAATTATTTAATTATAATTTTTTTTTAAGTGAAAATAATCTATGATCCAAACTTTGATATGAAGACTTAATAAGGTCTAACAAACTGAGGTTTTGTTTTTTGAGTTTTTGTCTTGGTGAGAAAATTGTGTGAAAATCTACCGTTTATCTTCTATATATATATAAATGAATGTATGTGTGTGTGTGTCTGTTTGTTCTTTATGCCTGACCAAACCACTCATTGGAACGCCATGAAACTTTGGGAAGTTATTTGGTATAGCACTGGGAAGGTGTCTAGCAAATAAAATTTTTTAAATAACTTTTCGCCTAAAAATAATCAAGATAAATATTCTAATTTACCTGTTATAATTCAACAATCTGCTCTAAATATTATCATGATGATACGATGATTTTGTAATGTAGAAAATTAGGAAAGACAAAATTCAGGATTACACGGCAATTTATTTGAGACAAGAATAATGATACAATTCATAGGCAAGATACTATTCCTTTAACTTCCAATTACCGAGGGAACCAATTAATATTGATTTTATTCAACTTATCGAGTATTTTTCAAGGGACCGGGAAAAAATGTTCACTTTATCGAGAGATTCGTTAGACAAACCTTTACTCTGGTAAAAACCCGGGCGAAGCCGGGTACGTCCGCTAGTAATTTATAAATGAAGCGAATTTGACACTTCATATAAATAAAATATATTTCAAATAAATAGTATTTTAAAAGAAAACAAATTTAATTTTTGAAAATAAATATTTTTTATGTTAGATATCTTAAACTTATATTTCTGAAAAAATATGTATGTATGTATATATTTCGTATTAAAATGTATATACCCTTCTTTTTTTCACAATTGGAGAAAATATTTTAGAAGAAATACTAAAGAAAATGAACGATATCAATATTTTATTTATCTCTTGATATTTATATTCCTGAATTATATAAAGACATTTTGCAGAATAAATTTGATTAGATGTATATATCATTGTAATGAGTTTTAGATAATAGAGAGCTAAAATTAATAAAAAAGCATAATATTTATGATTTAAAAAAGATTAAATCCAAATAACTTTCAATAATTAAATCACCTTTACAAATTGTTCGAACATTTAGAGTTTAGTTAGAAGGTTTGATAAAGGTAAAGAGAATCGTCTGCTTCATAAATCCCCTAAGACAAACTGACCGACGAAAGTTCTAAAAGATAAAAATACACTTTGAAACTTTTTCTTTCAGCCAGGCGAGAGAGTGGTCATAAAGACGTCCAATCAGTTGCTCATACAAATTACAAAATTTGAACG